TACGGCCCGTCCACACAGCGGCGTGTGTTGACGCTTGCCGGCGGGCGTGTCTGAAACTCGACCAACAACCAATCACATGAATCTCCCGCCCCTGACACACAAGCAGCGGTTGGATTGGCTAGAGCTTGTACTGGCATATGATTCGATTGGCTGACGCTTCTGCCGAGGCATCAAAAGTTGAACATTGCTCAACTTTTGCAGCGAGCCACGCCAGCAAAGCTCCGCGTCGCTTCCCACAATGCAGTTCGGCGAAAAGTGACGTCACCCCATTCAAAGTGAATGGTGAAGCTTTCAACGCACGCCGCTGTGTGGACGGGCCATTAGAGTTTTACTCGCTACAGGGTATACTTTGAGGGTTTGTGACTCTGCAGACCGTTTACATGCAAAAAAAGCTACATAACACACAAGGGGACGGGTAATAGCCAGAAGAGCATGACATGGGACCTTTAAGATAAAGAAGAACCAAACAAAACTAAAGCAACAACATTCAGTGTTTTTGCTCCTACATAATGTTGTTGTTGTTATATATAAACCTTGACCTCTGAGCTCTCTGATGAACACAGTTGTTGTGTGTATTGTGTTCAGGAGAGCCAGGCTGAGGTTCTCCGGCTGCAGAAGCAGAAAGAGGAACTCTGCGCTCAGATCCGGGACCTCAGCCTCCCGGTGGATCTGGCCTCTGATTCGCTGCCCGACCTCAAGAAGCAACAGCGCCTCCTGGAGGCCGAAGTGAGCGAGAAGAGGGAAGAGATCTGCACGCTTTCTGCCAAGATACAGAAGCAGCAACAGGTAACATTTAGGGGGATGCAACATTTACTCAAGTACTGATACCGTTCAGTAAAAGGTTGATGATCAAAAATATATGATTCTGAAAAAGGCTATTCTGCACAATGAGTACTTTTACTTTTACCTTGAGTGCTTTAGATATATATATATATTAGTAATGTTTACTTCAATGACTTCTTCCCCTCTTCTCTCTCAGGTCCACATGCGCTTTGAGATGGAGATGGAGAGGATGAAGCAGATGCATCAGAAGGAGTTGGAGGATAAAGAGGAAGAGTTGGAGGACGTACACAAGTCTTCTCAGAGAAGGGTACGTTAACACAGTACAAGTATTAATGGCACCGTTAGAAAGAAGTTACAAATTCAGAAAAAAGGACAGAATTCAGAAAAAAAGTAAAGATTACAAAAATAATACTGGATTCTGAAGAACATGACAAAATTCGAAAAAAAGTCATAATAAATTGTAATTCTGAAAAAAAGTCAGGATTCTGAAAAAAAATGGTTTGGATCTGAGTTTGAAAGAAAGTCAAAAATCTGGCAAAAAAATATTGGGATTCTGAAAAAAAGTCAGAATTCACGAGTAAAATAATATATTGAAAAACTAAAAAGAAAACGTCATTTACAAAATAAATAATACAAAACTTTATCCGTTTTCTGAGAAACAACAATAGAAAGAAACAGAAAGTGGACCTTTGTGTTGAGATCATTTTGCAGAGTTATAATTCAAATTTCAACGATGTTCGACGTTTAGGAACTCAGTATTGAAACCTTGATAAATGCTTTTAAAATCCTCTTTTGTCGTTAAAGAAGTACAAAACATTTCTATTGAAAGCATCAATCCTTTTCAGTGAAAATCCTCTGAACTGAGCCCTTTTGTTTTGTGCAGACAGCTCTTTGTAAATGTCCTTCCTCGCCTGAAAGGAATCAGACTCTTTTCACTAAGTCTTTGCAGTGTTTCCCCTAGGATGGAGTCATAGCAGCGGTGCTAAGGCACGCGGGCCCAGCAAAATGTGAGCGCGGCGCGCGTGGACATTTTAAGTGTGTGCGCGTGCGAAGTGCTTCCCGCCATTATGTTTCTATTTGTCTGCCAGCACAAGAAAGACACATACATCATTAAAGGCTTCAAATGTATTCAGTATTGTATGAACATAATTGGTGGTTGGACATCACATCCTCTAGGGGGGTCCGGGGGTATGCCCCCCCGGGAAGATTTGTTTTTACATTTTAATATAAAATGCTTCAATCTGGTGCACTTTGAGCACACAATGACTAGAGACTAGATCTAACTCTAAACACCCATATGAAAAAGATCGTTTTACATTTTAATAATCAAATAATTGAACATACCAATAAACTACCATAGCCAATAACACATATGTAACTTATTTTATTTTTGTTGTTCATTTACATCACTTTCATCAGGCAATTTTTTAGTTTAATATCAGATGTCAAAAGAGCATGGCACCTAGTAATGAATGTGCCAAATGTCTCTACTTCGTTCCACTGCCCCAGTGACTTGAATATCTTGGGTTCTGCCACCCTTCATGCAGATCTAGATCCCTCCGCTTCGCGTCGGGCTCCTGATCAGCCTGTCGGGTGTTCTTTTCCCCATAATGACCGCGTCGCTGCACATTATCCCTTACAAACTAGCTAAGTTAGCTAGATGTAATTCATTCTTAACTGTAGGCTTTTATCAAAGTATTAATTTACTTAATCTAAATGTAACAACATTTTAAATTATAATAACTTACATTTATGGCGTTATGACCTTCTTCTTGAGGTGATTGTGTCCAAATAAAATTATGTCTGCTTCAACTTGCTGTTGTCTGTCTTGTCAGGCAGTTTTCCTTCAGCTCTGAAAATGACAGCTTTCCCGCGTATCGGTGGCTCGAAGTTGCCGCGAGCGCTAGGGGGCAGCACTTATAATTCTTTTTAATAAAAAAAAAAATTTTTTTTAGTTTTCTATTCTGTTATTT